CCCACAAACTGTAAGCTAAATAAACCTTTCCTTCCTTCATTTTGGGCATTGGGTATTTTGTCTCAGCACCGAGAAAAAAGTAACCAAGACAGATCCTTTGCCTGGTGTAGTTACTACTTATACCATGAAACCACGCCTAACCTTCCTTATACTATTGCTGAAAAATTCTCTCCTTTCTGAACCCCAAGTCATTTTTCTTTAGACCCTCACAGCAGCCTGCTGGAGATCAGCACTGAGGTCCCCTGTGGTGAGCTGAAATAAAATGAAACTTCAGGGTCTTGACCCTAGACTGCACCCCTGCCCCTGTCTAGAGAGACTCAGAACTGTCTGTGGCCCCATCAGCACATTAATAACCCAGTCACATAATTGCTGAGGAAGAATAAGAACCTAAGGATCCCTGATGGTCAGATTTGGCCGGGGGTTGGGGCCAACGTGGAGTCCCCCTGAGATCAAGGCAGGCAAGGAAAGTGGCCAGGGTAAATATGGATCTGAGAAGGGGTTATTCATGGAGTTCTTTATTCATCCACGGTAGTGTAGGTAAATCACGCTTTCTAAAACCTTATTTGTTAACATAGTCATGTGTTTCTCAAATTAAAAATTCTTCATCAGTGTCTTCCCCTGCTTTCAGGATAAAGTCAAAGCTCAGGGCTTTCCTCACTGCAGCCTGCTTTCCTCTACAACTTCATACCCCAATGTCCCACCTCTCTACCTCCCACTACCCCAAGGAACTCACGGGCCTGTGCTTTGAGTCAGTACCGGGATGAATGCAAACCCCACCTTCAACACCTGTTGGTATTGGGACAGGTAAATGGGCAGAGAGAGCAGTGCCATGGTAGTTTAGCTCTAGGTGTTATGGGAACTCATAGAAAGATACCTAGGAGTCAGACACTCAGAGAAGACCTCCTAAAGGAGTGACATGTAATCTAGTGCTAAGGGATCACAGGAGGTCATGAACATTAGGAGACTGTATTTCAGCAAATGGAATAGAGATGCAAGTGCAGGAGGAAATACAAACCCAAACTCCAGAAAAAAAGGAAAAATGGCTGTGGTACTGTGAGTGCCACAGTATGGACCTGGAATGTTCCCCAAGGCCTACATGATTAAGGTTTAGTCCCCGACTTTGCGCTGTTGGGAAGTGGTAGAAAGTGGGAGATATAGGAACTGATAAAAGAACCTCTGGTCATTGGGGGTGTGTCCTGAAGAAGTGGGGTCCCAACCTCTTTTTTCTCTCTTTTATACCCAGACATAAAGTGAATAATTTCACTCCTACCATGATGCACTGCTCCTCCATATGGTCCAACAAGGCCAAGTGACCATGGAATTAACCCTCAAAAAACACGAGCTAAAATAAACATTTCTTCTAGGGGGGAAAGTTTACCAGGGCTTGAATCCAGGACCTTCCCAATGGGGTACAGTCCAAGCCCTTAAAAAAATTTCTTATATTGATACAGGGACTTGCTAAGTAGATAAGTTGCCTAGGCTGGGCTCAAACGTGAGAACCCTCTGCTGCAGACCCCCAGAGTGCTGAAAACCTTTCTTCTTTTCAAGTTGATTGTCTCATATGTTTTGCTATAGTGATGGAAGGCTGACTAACACAGTGAGACATGTAACTAGGCTGGTTGCAGTGGTTTGTGCCTGTGATCCCAGCACTCAGGAAACAGGCAGGAGGATTGTAAGTTTGAAGACAGCCTGGGTTACATAGAAAAACCCTGTCCTACCCCACCCCCATTACAGTAGGTAATAAGAATCACTCATGGAGGCTGAGTAATAGGGAACAAGCAGGCTTATTTAGCGTATGTGGAAGACATCCCCAACTATTGCCAGCCGGAAGTATCAGTGACAAGGATAGAAATGCAGCGGCTTATATAGGAGTTGGTCCAGTTGTTAACAATAGAATTTCTAAAAATAGGAGGTATTTTCCAAAAAGGTGGAGTACAGAGTACATCACAAGATGACTATGGGGTAGTCATGGTTATGGGGTAGTCATGGGGTCATTACAACATTGCAGCAATTACCAGAAATAGTATTTTTCAGAAGTAGAACTTGCTTACACACGGAAACTGCTTATCATGATTTGGGGAACAAAAGTGAGTTCATCTAGAGTTCAAAGGAGTTTAAGTGAATTTTAAAATGAAGTTCTAAAAAGCAAATGGGGTCTCTCTTACTCTATCATTCTCCCCTCAGGGACATATTTTCCTTTTTTAGGACATATATAGTCCTTCATATGGTGGTGGTTCATATTCTGTCTCATGTTCTGTAGCTTCCTTTAGAACCATCACCTGGACTTGATCTGTACTGATCTTTCATTGGTTTTTCATCCACCAGATGAGGCATGGTCAACAAGAGAATCATTAAAATAGGCCCAGTCAGTCTGTGACCAAGGATGTTAACCAGTGGTTCCAGTTAAATAGTTGTTCATACATCCCTGTTGGTTTTGCCTAATTTGGGCCCATTCTTCTATATTTTGTTTTACTTTATTTAAAGTTTCAACTGTAATTCCTGGTTGGTTTGCATAAAACAGCATTCTTCTCTTAAAGCTGCACATAGCCCACTTTGCTCCATGAAAAGACGGTCTAAGCCCCTTCCATTTTGTAAGACCATTTCAGCTAATGAGCTGACATGGTCATGTAGCTTGCAGACAGCACTTCGGACCTGAGTCAAATCTCTATCCATGGACTGAGTCAACCCTGTAATCCTATACAGTCTAGTTTCCATCTGGATCAAGGCTCCAGCCCCAAGTCCAGCAGTACTTGTCAGGGTTACTCCTAGCAGCAGTAGGAGGAGTACCTGAGGTGCCCTTTGGCTCAGTGTTGGTCTTTAAGAAACTGTTTGAATCTCTCTTCTCCAGGCAAGGTTGACACCAGGGTAGTAGTAACACTGAGAGACAGGGTCCATAACCTTTGTGTTTTACATATGCACCCTTAAGCAGCCCAGTGGGACATATGAACCAGGCATTGAGGAGCCCAATAAGTCTGTGTCAGGGGCAGGGTCTGATTACATGCTAGCTGATAAGTCTCAGATCCCAAACAGAACTTGTCCATAAATGTTACCTATGAGGTTTAAAGGAAGGGTATCCTACTCCTGTGGATTATAATCAGTTTTGCTGGGACTTGGCCATGTATGGGAGCCATATGCTTCATAAAAGGGTGGGCTAGGCTTTGTACACATCCAACAACTCTCTGCTAACTCCGGACTGGAGAGGTTAAGGCCATGATGGGTCAGATTTAATATCTTATAAATGTTAGCCTGCAAACCTTGTTGGGACAAATCGACCCCTATTTTTGTCTTGTTGGAAGTTGGCTTTGGAAGTTGGTTTCCTTCCCAAATGTGTCTCAGATGCAGCCACTGGAAAAGGGTTAGCTGGGGCTTTAGGTACCATGGGGATCCTCTTAATGTTAATAGGTATGCCAGGATCTTCATCCCCAGTGCTCTGCCTATACATCTGGACACCTAGATCTGCCCTACCACCCTCTTGGTTTCCCTGGGGTCCCTGAGTATGTTGACATGCATGCAAAAGGGGAAACTCATCACAGTTTACACCTTTGTACTTGAAAGCTTTAAGCAGTTCATCCTTTTGTACCCAGCACCTTTTATTTTCCTCTGACTCTGGTACAAATAGACCCAGCATAGTCCATTCATGTAGACACTTGAATAATCCTATAGTTCATATCCCCAATGTGGACAGTAATCACTTGGGTCATTACAGTTTCCTGGAATCACTGGACACAAATAAATCCCTGTTATCACTATTTCTTCCTTCTCATGTAAATCTTTTTCCTCAACAAAACATGCTGGAGACTGACCTCTGTTGGGATTAGCACACCAGTTAGGGGTCCAGAGTGTACACTGGGGAAAACTCAGATCTGCATCATCCTGCAGGGCACAAGGATATACATTCTCAGCTATGACTGTGGCATCTGGATGTCTAGCTGTGGCATAGTGACACATCAGCTCAGCAAAGGCTGGTCCTGGGAAGAGTTAGCAAAGGATGAGAATAGCAGCAGGAGTCATGGTGGCAGTTTCATCACCATGAGCTTCTGTTGGAATCTTTGAGAGCATCATGGTATAGGGGGCTCAGGTGCAGGGGGCTGGGTCTGCAGTAGTGACTTTGCAGGGAATTCAGGTGTCCACTTCTTAGCTCAGGAATGATGGGCCCACAGAGCACAACTTGTAACTTTAAGAGCAGTGGGCATAGTTAAAACGGCATCATAAGGCTCTGCCCACTTTGGTTGGAGCAGCTCCTCCTTCTCAGTTTAAATTAGCATTTTGTTTCCTGGTGCAAAGGAAAGAACAAGAGAATCAGTTGGATGGGGTGTCACTGCAGCACAATCCTCTGGTGGTCCTTCCAAATCTGCTGCAAGGCCTTCATCTGTTGCCATAGGTCCAAAGTCCCCTCTCCTGTAGTCCTTCCAAAATGTACAAAAGAGGGAGAGGGCTCTCACACGTGATCTCAGATGGAGTTAGCCCATCCCAATACAGGGTGCAATGAGATCACAATAGGGCCATCCGAAGCATAACCACCCAGCTCACCCCAGTTTCTTGGCAGAGCTTGGCTGGGGTGGTCTTCAAAGTTTAGTTTTGTCTCTTTATTTGGCCAGGACTCTATGGTTGATGGGCAGTATGTAGCTCTCCTTGTAGCCTCAAAGCTTTTGAAAGGCCTTAAACCATTCAACCCACAAAAACAGGTCAATTATCTGAAACTACCATCAAGGGGTGCCAATACCAGGGAATAATCAACTCCATCAAGGCTTTTACCATGTCTTTAGATGTCTCAGTCCACGGAAATGGCCTCCAGCCAAACCAGATGAGAACCAACAAATACTTTTTGTTCCCACTAGTAAGTTGATTTTAGTAAAGCCCACTTTGACATTCTCAAATGGCAGGGTCCCCTGCTTTCAAACTCTGGGTTGTTGCTGTGGATTGTTGTAAGCACAAACTGTGCATCTGCTGGCCATTGATGTGCACAGAGTCCAAGGTCTGGAAACAAAGAAGTGATAGCCAAGCAGCTCTGCCATGGCCATCTTTCTCAAATGGGTGTGGTTGTGAAGCTCAAAAATGTACAAAATGTCCTACAGCCTCAGTGAGGAATACCTTTCTTCCTAGTAAAACCTGCCATCCATTCTGTTCTGTAGCTCCCTTTGATTTGGCCCACTTTAGTTCTGCTTCTGCATATTTAGGTGGTTTGAGAAGCAGGGCCAATAAGGCTTGTGCTACAGGGAGTAATTTTCCAGTGGCAGCCTGCTTAGCTGCCACATCAGCTGTCCAATCCCCCCGTGCCTCTATTGAATTGCCCTTCTAATGGCCTGGGCAATAGATCAACCTTGGTAGATAACCAGATGGCTTGTAACAAGTTCAGTATCTCTTAGGAATTTTTAATGTCTCTCCCGTGGTGAGGAGGCCCTATTCCCAGATGGCACCAGGCACATGTAAAGTAGGAAAGGCATAGTGGGAGTTGGTATAAACATTTACTCACTTGTCTTTTCCTACCTCCAAGGCCCAAGTGAGAGCAATTACTTCAGCTTTCTGTGCTGATGTTCCAGGAGGCAAAGCCTTAGACCAGACAGTCTGTTCAATGGTAATAACCATCGCTCCTGCTTTCCAAACCCTATCAATTACCATGCTGCATCTGTTTGAAAACAGGGTCAGGTCAGGGCTCTGAAGGGGTGCATCCTGTAGATCTGGTCTGGCTGAGTAGACTGCTTTGATTGCCTCAATGTAATCGTGCTCAGATGGTTCCAGGGGCATCAGCAAAAGAGAAGCAGGGTTGAGGGCCTGTATAATCTTAATAGTGAGTCAAGGGTCCTCCAGTAGCATCTTTTGGTATTGGGCAAACCTAGTACCTGAAAGCCATTTACCACCAGGTCCTCTCAACAAACTCTCCATTGCATGGGGGACAAACACATCCAATTTTTGTCCCAAAGTCATCTTATTAGCCTCTTTTACTAGTAGGACAGTGGCTGCAGTGGTGCACAGACGAGAAGGCCACCCAACCATTATGTAGTCCAACCTCTTAGACAAATAGGCCTCTGAGTGCTTTCAGGGTCCCAAAGTCTGAGTCAAGACTGCCTGAGCAGTGCCCTCTTTCTCATCTATGAATAAGTGAGATGGCTTGGTAATATCAGGTACAGCTAAAGAAGGAGCATTTAAGGGTCTGAAAGGCTGTCTTGTGCTCAGGATTCCATTTCAAGGGAGGGTCATTCCTCTTTTTAAAACCTCATGCAAGGGTTTGGCTGTAGCTATAAAATTGGGAGCCCACAAATGGCAATATCCAACTGTTCCCAAAAATTTCCTCAGGTCTTTTCTAGAGAAGGCATTCTTCAAGTCCCAAATGGTCAGTACAGGAGGTTGACAGTGGACAGGTGCCATCCTTCAACACAAACCCAAGAAACTGTACAATTTGTATACAAATTTGAGCTTTTTTCTTTGACACTTGATACCCTTTATCGTGAAGTAGACCTAGAAGTCTTTGTGTTGCTTTGACAGAGTTCCTCTGTTTCAACTGCCAGAAGTAAATCATCAACACACTGCAACAGGGATATCTCTGGGTTTTCTATACTGAAAGGCATCAAATTTTGGACAAGTCTTCCCCTGAAATCATGGGAGAGTTCTTGAAACCCTGTGGGAGCCTCCTCCAAGTTAGTTGACATTTTCATCCCCCCTGGATCCTCCCACTCAAAGGCAAACAAATCTTTCATTCTGAAAGTCCCCTTGACTATACCACAAACATTTCTTTCTTTGTCATCTCTAGTCATTTTGTACACTCCCATTTGGAATGTCTCTTTGGCACATTGATCTGGATCTGGAAGAGTGCAGTATCCTCCCTGTTTGCCTTTTGCCCCTTTTCCTCTAGGTCCTGACTGAGCCTCCTTCTTGTAAGCTGCCAGCATCACCTTTTTCTTTTCCTGCTTGCGTTTCCACTCTGTGTCGTCTGTATTATGGAACACCTTTTGGGCAATTTCAACTAACTGAGACAAATTCATTCCTATAAACCCCTCCAATTTTTGTAGTTTGCAGCCTATACCAGGGGTTGACTGAACAACAAGAGCCGTGTTGACAGTGTGGGCATTCTCAGTTGCCTCTGGGTCTAATGGAGTGTATGTCCAATAAGCCTCCATGAGATGCTTGAGAAATGTGGTGGAGCTTTTAGTTAGTCCCTGAGGTACCTCCGCCACTTTGTTCAAATTAGTGGGGTGGAGGGCAGCAGTAAGTAATCATTTTCTCAATGCTGTTGTTGTGCTTTCAGTCTCTTCAATCCCTCATTGGTGTTATTATTCCAATCAGGGGAATCCTGGAGTAGAATGCAAACCACTGCCTCTGCTTTGTCTTGTTTGGTTCCCTGTCTCTAGTCTCACTTGTTTCTCCTAATTCTTTCCTTTCATTCTGAATAAAACAGGGTTAACATTATCTGTTGACAGTCATCCCAAGTGGGCTGGTGGGTTTTAAACACTGTCTCTAGCAATGTAATCAAGGCCCAAGGCTGTTCTGAAAGGGGGGGATTCTGAGTTCTCCAATTACATAAGTCACTAATGGTGAAAGGGACATACACCAAGGTAGACTGAGGGTTCCCCCCAGTCCTGCTATGGCAGTCTGCTGGAGGGGCAGAACAGGGACTGGTCCCAAGGAACAGACTTCCTTGTCTGGGGAAATCTGCTATTGGCTCTGAGGAGGGCTGTCTGAGGTGATAAGATAGGTGTGGAGCCACAGAGTCAAGGTGTGCAGCATGGGCAGGTGCACTGGAGAAGTCAGGGTAGGGTGGTGGCAGAGCAGGAAGACCAAAGGTAGGGTTGTCCTCCTCAGGGACCAAGGGCAAAACAGGGGGCTTTTGCTTTGTGGACCTCTCCTTGATTACCAGTACACGATCAGGAAAACCTCAAACACGCATTCTGAGCCATTGGGGCAGTAATCTATATAGGGGAGCTGATCTGGATGGCTGGGCCTCCCAGTGGTGACATCTCACACTCTACTGGCTACTTGAGGGTTGATCATTCCCTCTGCTGGCCACCCTACATCAAAAGAGGCCCATTACAGTTCTCACAGGGTGTAGAGTCTTTCTGGTTTCATTTTCACTCCATAATCACCCTTCAATTTGTCAAAATTCTCAATCATGTAATCCGGAACAGTTAGCTTGCTGTTTGTCAAGCCTATGATAGTCCAAGTCAGAACAAAGAGAAAACAGTTTACCTCAGTGATCTTTCCTCCCCAACTCAGGCAATAGCGTTAACAAAAGTCCAAGGCTAGCAAAGTTCCAGAGGATGGCCATTCCCATGATGATGTGTAGCAAACAGGTTGGATCCTCTGCAGTCTCCAAGTGTAGAATCATGAGGAGCAGAAAGGGCAACACGAAGGTGATTATGAGCTCTCCAAGCCATGTGACAGATTTGGCTTGGATCTGGAACCATGGGAACATTTAGGTAAAACACAAAATGAAAGCACAAAAACAAACAGACAGATGAGACAATCCTGGGAACTATAATCATTTCTAACCAACTGTCAATTTTAGGGTAAATTTAGAAGGAGGAGTCAGGAACTGACAGGACTGAAACTGGGTCTCTCAGTCACTGAGAGATCAGGCTGGTACATCTGCAAGCCTGGCGCCAATTAACCAAATGGCAGCCACACCAGGGTTGATTGCTGTGTCTGGGCTGGGCCCATCAGTGGTCCAAAACTGTCTCAGTCACTGAAACAGCAGGCTGGTGTATCCAGGAGGCTGGGGGAGTTTGGGACTATCAACCAAAATGCTGGCCATGCAAGGTATGGTTGCTGCATCCAGGCTGGGCCTGTGGTCAGTCTAGAACCCAAGGGAATCAAAATTGCCAAATTCTTACCTTGGTTAGGAGGCAGGCCCTGCTTGTTCCATTCTCACAGCTGTGGCATCTTGCCTTGCAATTACCCCAGGTGACCAGCTGAAATCAGCTGGGGCACCCTGCCACTGAAAGCTGACAGTGAGGAGAGAAGGCCTGCCCCTCCTCAATCAAGGGCTTTTTCCATGAAGATCTCGCTGGGGTCTCCAGAATGTTATGGCAGGTAACCAGAATCACTCATGGAGGCCAAGTAATGGAGAACAAGCAAGTTTATTTAGCATATGTGGAAGAGATCCCTACTGTTGCCAGCCAGGAGTATATATGACAGGGATAGAAATGCAGTGGCTTATATAGGAGTCGGTCCAGTTGTGAACAATAGAATTTCTAAAAATAGCAAGTGTCTTCCAGAAAGGCAGAGTACAGAGTTCATCACAAGATGACAGTCATGGTCATGGTGTAGTCATGGGGTTATTACAACATTACAGAATTTACCACAAATAACATTTTTCACAAGTAGAACTGCTTATCATAGGAGTTAGGGAACAAAAATGAGTTCATCTAAAGTTCATGGGAGTTTGAGTGAACTTGAAAATGAAGTTCTAAGACTGCATGTGGTGGCACATGCCTGTAATCCCAGCACTTGGGAGGCTGAGGCAGGAGGATCTTGTGAGTTCGAGACCAGCCTAGGCTACAATGTGAGCTCAAGGTCAGCCTGAACTGCATAGCAAGACCCTGTCTCTAAAAGACAAAATAAATAAATAAATAAATAACACGAAGTTCTAAAAGTCAGATGGGGTCTCTCTTGCCCTATCACCTCAAAGCATGAAGCTAGAGGTAGATAGGAACAAGATCTTACTAAGGCTTTCTAAGCATTGCTAAGGCATTTAGCCTGTCTCTGTAAGCTTAAATTGAGGTGAACAGAAATTAAGGAGGGAGGAAAGGAGGGGGAGAAAGAGACAGAGAGACGGAGAAATGAGCCAAGAGCCCACCAAACTGTATTAGCCTTGCTGAGTCAACACACATTTCCTCAAAGCAACTGTGCAAATCTCTGTGACACTTGGGCAGGAATATACAGCAAAAGACACCCAAAGCTCCCACACAGTTACTTAAAAACCTCAGTCACCAGGCATGGTGACACATGCCTATAGTCACAACATTCTGGGAGGCTGAGGCAGGAGGATAGCAAATAGCCTAGCATAGGCCAGTTAGTGGTTTAGCAAGACCCTATCTCAAAATAAGAAAAAAGGACTAAGGGTGTGGCTCAGTGTAAAGACCTTGGGTAAAATCCCCAGTGCCACAGTAAATAAATCAATAAATACTGAAAAGGGCTGAAGAAGCAGCTTATTTTGAGGCCCTGGGTCCAGTCCCCAGGACTGGAGAAGCAAAGGCATTTGGGGTCAGTGTCTTCACTCTCCTGCCATGTGAGCACACAGCTCATATGGCAGCCACGTGGGGGACACAGCCAGAGTCCCCATCAGACACCAGGTGCCAGTGCCTGCTTTCGAACTTCCTAGCTTCAAAACCACGAGAGTAGGTCTCTGTATTTTGTAGGCCTTCTATACTTTGTTATAGCAGCACACATGTACTAAGACCCCCAAAGCCACCTGAAGAACTTGAGTTTTTACACTGAGATGAATCTCTAGCCCTTTTCACTTTTTATTTTGGAGACTGGGTTTCACTAAGTTATTAAGTTCCCCAAACTGGGCTTGGACTTGAGACCTTCTTGCCTCAGTCTCCCAGAGTGCTAGAATTACAGGTGTGCACCACCATACCTGGCTTGAAGTTTGGATTTAAATTAAACAGTCATGAGGAGCATGAAATATTTCCCAGACCATCTTTCCTCTCATTCATGGAAACTACTGTCTACTTTCTGTCTCTTGAATTTGACTTCATCTGAGTGAAATCATATACTCCTTATCCTTTGTGTCTGGTTTTATCTCACTTAACATAATGTCTTCAAGGTCTGCCCATGTCATAGCACATTGTAGAATTTCCTTGCTTTATAAGGCTGAATGCAATTCCACAATTTACATTTTATTCATCTACACATTGATGGACATCTGGGTTACTTCCTTTTAGCTATTGTGAGCAGTGCTGGCATGCACAGGGGAGTGACAAGCACCTCTTAAAAACGTTACTTTTGATTCTTTTGCATATGCACCAAAGGTGGAGTTGCTAGATCATACAACAATTTTATCAAGTTACATAATTTTATCTTAATGTGAATCTTAAAACATATTATTTTGAGTGTTTGAATGATTTCATTACATGACAGAATTCTCTTACTCAAGTTCAATCTCTTTTTTCAGTCAAGAAATATTAAGTACTTACATTGTTCTAAGCCTTGGGTACACAGCAATAGCTCAACTAGGAAAAAATCCTTTCTAGAAATTTGAACACTAACTGAATATTAATTTATTTTGAGAAGCTATCATTATCTTTTTAAGTAAGATAGTATTGTGGGTCAATAGTTCAATAGTAAGATAGTATTGTGGGTCAATTGTGTTTTCAAAGGAAGTTTTTAGAGTCAAAAGTTATTAGACATACATACTAAAAGATTTATATATAGGGCTAGAGATAAAGCTCAGTAGCATAAGCACCTACCTGACAAGTACAAGATCCTGAGTTTGATTCCAGGTACTCCACCCCCTAAAAAAAGATTTATATGTAAACTAACATGATATGCGGGACTTGTTTTAAAATAGCCCAGCACAGGTTGGGTGTGGTGGCACACACCTATAATTCTAGCACTCAGGAGGCTGAGGCAGGAAGACTATGGTGAGTTTGCGACAAACCTGGGCTACAAAGTGAGTGCAAGCTCTGCCTGAACTGCATAGTGAGACCCTGTCTCAAAAAGACAAAAAAGTTAAAAAAAAAAATAGCCCAGCAGGAGCTAGGTATGATAGTGCATGGCTGTAATCCCGGATACTTGGGATGTTGAGGCAGGAGGATCACAAGCTTGAGATCAGCCAAGGCAAATTAGTGACACTGTCTAAAAATGGGAGAGGCATTAGGAGTGTAGCTCTGTGGTAGAACTCTTCCCTAGCATGCACAAGAACCTGGCTTCAATCCCCAGCATGGTGGGATGTGAGAAGCCCAGCGGGATGGTGGATGCAGGAAAGTGGGTGAAGGTACAGATGAGACAGGAGTTGATGACTGCTGTATCTGGGTGAGGATAGTAAGGAGATGCGAGATGCTGCTCTTCTTACTTTTGTGCATGAATAATATTTTAAATAATAAAAACTGAAGAAGCTGGCATGGTGGCACACACCTGTGGTTCTAGCACTCTCAGAGACTGAGGCAGGAGGATCACAACTTTGAGCTCAGCACAGCATTTCAGCAACCCAGTGAGACCCTGTGTCAAAATAAAAATTTAAAAAAGGACTGGGGACGTAGCTCAGTGTGAAGGCCTTGGATTCAATGCCCAGTGCAGTAAGAAAAAAAAAAAAAAAGTGAAGAAACAGAAAACTTTCCCTTGTGGGGTTTATGTTTAGTGCTGGAATTTGTGCTTGTGATGACATCAACATCAAAATCAGGCAATACGATGCCACAGTGGCTGAAAGGAGCAGGACCGTGCAGCAGGTTAGATAAACACGAGTGAGGAAATTGAGTTCCACTCAGAATGTGGAAATGCAGGCATTCTGGGTTCCGGAGCCAACTTGATACAGGCAGTGCCTTGGGAGTGGATGCTTCTGGACTATTCTGAATATGTTGAACTATGTAACTGCAATTAAAGCAAATTGTTTTTTTAGAATTATGAAACATATTATTAAAGACAACTCTTTGAGCCCAGTGTGGTGGCACATGAGTAAATCCTAGCACTTGGGAAGCTGAGGCAGGAAGATCATGTGAGTTTGAGGCCAGCCTGAGCTGCATAGTGAGGTCCTGTCTCAAAAATCAAAAATCAACAACCAAAAAACCAAAAACAAAACCCCTCTGACAATTTGAAAAGTTTTAATGGTTAAGTATGCAATGTGACAGTAATTAAAAAAACAGAAAGTGCACCACACCCCAAATCAAAATAATTAAGTTATAAACAAGTGAAAAACAAAATGGGCAGATTCACTTCTCTAATGCTACTGGTTTTAGGAAAACAAACTAGTGGAACTAAGTTAGCATGCCTGATTTCCCATGGATGTTTAATTTAAATACACAGCATAAAATGTAGTTTTTTTTAGTTTTATAGTAGGTTGAGAACAATAGGGAAAGCCATTCACAAACTAGTTTGCACATATTTTAAAAAATTATAATGAAATGAATTGTATCAGTCCTGCAGGGGCCATAGGGTTGTTTTCTCTTGAAATTGTACCCACTCATTTCTCAAGGAAAACGCTGGTATAAAGAATACATTATTTTCAGGGATATAGGAGCACCGATTTTGACGTGAATACCCAGGTGGCAAACTGAACAGGATGCTAGCAGGGCAGCTGGATACAAAAAATTAGATTCCAGAGCCATCATGAGAGTAAATCCGTCCTTTCTGGAGGGCGGGGGTATGTGAGAAATGTTTGAGCCTAATGGACTAAGAAAATAGCCATGCCACTCTCAGAAACCGGTTATTCAAGAAGAGAAACTAATTTAGGGCAAGAGGAGATATGCTGCATTTGAAAAAAAATACAGCATAGCAACTAGCCAGAAGTGTGGAGCAGGATCTTGGGGGACACTGATTCTGGGCTTCAGCATCCATTCCGCTAGTACATCTGAGCCCTGTGGTCCACTCTACACGGAACAGCCCGGGTAGGGCTGGGTGGGGAAGGTACACACTGAGCCCCGAGGAAGGCTACTTGTCCAGACCGGAGATTCAGGCAGAGCTTCCTGAGCTTCAGACCAGGCAGCAGGACCCAGAGCCGTTTGGGGTGAACAAAGGGACCTAGGGGATTCCTCCCCCTGCTTTGCCCCAGGGAGCTTCCGGCCTGACCTGCAGCAGTGATTTGTGAGTTGTTACTTAAAGTCCTTAGTATCCCTGTTTTCGGTTCAGATTACAACCAGTAAACAACCAACCTCCCAAAAGAAAAAAAAGTTTCCGGTTTGGAAATGTGAGGCCATCTGTTTCTCATTCTATCCCCCTCTTAGCTAGATTTCTTCCCTTCGCTCCTCTCTCTCCATCCCACCGCCTGGAACACACAGCTCAGCTGGGCGCCTAGTGACCTTATTTGACTACATTTGCTTGAAAGAGAAAGCGGGGTTTGTTACTGGGATTAAACTGGGAAGTTCCATGTTTCCCTTCAGAACAGATATCTTCGACTTACTTAAAATGTTTTCTCCCTGAGAATTCTGCACTTAATCTAAATAACAAGTA